CAACAAAGTATCCAGCAAATAATGTTGAGTATACAGTATTTATTCATTAAAATTTATATTTAAATATTTGTTTGTAATTTCTGCTGGATTTAATAGTCGGAAAGTGTGATGACTTTGCCATCGTATCGGGACTGTCTTAATTGCCAAACCCGCCAAACCCGCCAAACAAAAGAGAGAGAGAGCTAGTTATATATTAAACTATTGTTAAATATTAATTTTTTATTAATTTAATACAAACATATTTACATGTTCTATAACTAAATCAGTTAATAATTTAATAAATTTAATTGTAATTATATATAAATAGCTCTCTCTCTCCCAATTTTTTGATCCTAAATGGGAGAGAGAGAGAGTAATTTATATGTAATTACAATTAAAATTATTAAATTATTAATTGATTTAATTATTAAATACTTATAATACTTTGTATAAAATTAATAAAAAATTAATATTTAACAATAGTTTAATATATAACTAGCTCTCTCTCTCTCTCTTTTGTTTGGCGGGTTTGGCAATTAAGACAGTCCCTATATTTTTCATAAAAATCATTGATTTTCTCGTATAATACGTGTACAATCTTCTTGTAAAGATAAAAATAAACTTAAATAATGAACTTTTGGAAAATATTTTTATTTCTTATATAAAATCATAATATTATATTTTATTCATTGCCAAATATATTTTATTAAGCAATCATATTGATAATCAATAGTTACATTTCAATAAAGCTATTGTAATATTGATTTTGACATAATACAGATTAATAAATACTACTATATTTCAATAGAATATTGAATACAATAAAATTATATAATGAGGTCAGAATCATAATTATTTTTATATGTTGAAAACGCCATACATTATACTTAATATAAATAGCTAACAATAGAAAATCATGTCATCCCTACACCAATTTGTTTTTAAAAATAAACTCAAAATCATAAACTACTTCAAAAGTCGTAACAATACTCAGTATATCATTGAGTTAATCGACAATTTTGTTGGCAATAAATATTGTACACTATATGCCACTTGCGATGAATACATTTCCAGACAGTATCGTTCAACGCGTCTAGTAATTATTTTGATCAGGCACACCATACTGGTATTATTAATGATCATGAGCATTTTAGCGGCTCTTGGCGTTAAGTCAGTTTTGAGTAAAATTGATTTTAGCGAGTACTTTGGCGTGACCCCGGTACTTTTACACTCCGACTATGTATTCATATACTTTTCGTCGGCATACATGCAATGGTGTGGATTGAAGTGCGAGTTGACAAACACCCTGTACTACCGGTCTATAGTCTATCGCATAAAGTATGGATTTGTTAAATACCCCTTATCAATCTACAAAGTAAAGAAAGTTAACAAGCTTGTATTTATATTAACCTATTACACGCAACTAGTATATGTTTCACTAGTCATATTATTTATAGTCATAGAGTTAATATTAGTGCTTTATAAATATTATGAATCTGACAACATATTTTCGATAGCGACCTTGATCATTTATTTTATTCTGTTATCGGTATGGGTGACACAATGGATAGCCTATATCGCGTACCTTTTGTTAACGTATCTATTTTTAACATATTATATACAATATAAGTTCATGGACATATACAGATCCATACTATTAGCTGTCAAATATAATAATACACGTCTATTCATGTCAGCCATTCGTGAGCACCGGTATTGGGAAGTACAGACAACAAGGTGCAACCACTTTTTCAAACATATCGTATTTGATTTATATTATCTATTTACATTGGCCATGCAACTTTTTTTCATAATTATTTATAAACTATGGCTAAACGTATGGTTTAGTTTAATTATGGGCGCAGGGTCAAGTTGTTATATATTAGCCATGATTTCGTTGACCTGGATACCAAAGGCCGCCCACAAGCCCTACAATATATTAGTGGCTTATATGTCGGGAGCGCCGGTACTTTCACTTCGCGAGCGACTTAAACTCGACGAATTCATTGAACGGCTGTATACCGGCCCGCAAATAGGGTACACGTGTTATAACATATTCCCGGGCACTAGTTATGAGATATATCAATATATTTGCGTTTTTGTCATAAATTATATATTAATTATTTCGTTGTTTAAAAAAGTGTAAAAGATAAATTACATTTTTATATTTTAATGTATTATGCGAAAGTAAATAATCAAAATAATTACTTGTACATTTTAAATTACAGTTTATCAAAATATTTAATTGCTAAAGGTTTTCATTGATTAATTATATTAAATTGTAAAAGTATCTGTTAATTGACATTTAAAATAATACAGTATATGTTATATTATACTGTATTATATATTACACAACATAAAACAAGTGGTTAAGATAAAAAAAATGCTTTTGTTTCAAAATTGACAAATTATGATTATAATTGATAATTAAAAATTATTGATAAAATTAACTGAAATGATAATGTCAAATATAATATATAAATACAAATGTTACTTCATTTACCTGCATATGCTGTTAATTTATTTTATTAGTATGAAATTATACATTAACGCATAAAATGTGCACGCTTATTGTTTATGTTTTAAGTTTAATATGTTGTATTCAATTGTCTAATAGTATTGACATAAATACCACATCAGGTGTAGTGAGAGGTCTCACTATAAATGTGTTGAACACTAGTGTTGACCAGTTTTTGAACATCCCTTACGCTGAACCCCCGGTCAGGGACCTGAGGTTCACTAAACCACAACCACTCAAAGCACCAAAAAAGGTATGCATTTTACGGAAATTTAAAATTCAATTACATAATTATTTAAAAGTTTAAATAAGTTCATACACAAGCATTCCCGCATGCATTTATTTCCCCAACCTAGAGTGTATTTACTAATGATCCGTGATGAAAAATGTTTATCGACTATTAGGATATAATCGACGGGACTAAGCCGGGAAACTCATGCATGCAAATACCGGAACCCGAAACGTCGGGAATTTTGTCAACACTAATGTATAGCGAGGACTGTTTGGTACTAAACATATGGACACTAAACAGTGAGAACAGTAGGTCACCAACAGAGTCGCCACTAAAAGCCGTAATGTTTTGGATATATGGCGGCGGACTGTCATCAGGGTCCATTTTTGACACCCAATATAACGGCAGCATTTTAGCCACATATGACGTGGTGTTTGTATCGGCAAACTATAGGTTAGGACCATTTGGCTACTTATATGGTGGCGATGTGTCGGCGCCGGGAAATATGGGCTTTTTTGATCAACTATTGGCTCTCAAATGGGTATAACACGTGTTGCTAATTATATTTGGGTCGTCCAATTAGTACGTTTGAAATGGGGGTAAACTTAAGTTAGACTAATCAAAGCAAATATCAAACAGCGAATAGTCAATGTTCAACACAATAGCTTAAGTGTACCTGGTTCAAATGTGAAAGTTCCATAAATAGATACTTGACATTTTTCATGCATTTTCCCAATCCGGAAGTACGTACTTATTTAACAATACCTAAACCTCATAGTAAAATAGGATTACATATATGAAAGGACATTTATCCGCACAAAATGTGTACGCATTTTGTGAGCGAATCTAATATTTTTAAAAATTTCATATAAATATAAGGTTAGAGAAAATATCCACGTGTTTGGTGGGGACAGGAATCTGATCACTATATTCGGTGAGAGCGCCGGTAGTTGGTCCGTATCGGCGCATATCATAAGTCCGTTAACTCGGGGTCTATTTAAACGGGCTATCATGCAAAGCGGGGCTCATATGTATAGTAAGGACAGGGATGTGATCAGCAAGTCTGAGGCCTTAACAAAAGCCAAACATATGGCACAACAACTTAATTGTAGTGATGCTGACGATTGGTTGCGGTGTCTGAGAGGTGTCGGCGCCCATGAATTCCTAAATTTTGAGACTTCTCTGACATTTCCGGTGTTGGGAACTGAATACCTGACACTATCGGCTCAACAGGCATTTATGGACAATAAATTTAACTCAGGTTTGTATTTAATTTAAACGTACCCTGGCGACAGGTATTGCAGCAAAGTTAACATTAGCTTTACCGGAAAGCCAACCTTACCAAACCTAACCTTGCCAAAAATAATATAATCTAACTTGACTTGAGTAGACTACACTGTCAAGGCTAGATTAGGTTAGGCTAAAAAGTTGGCTATACTTTAAAGCAGTGACCTCAAAATAATTATAAAACAAAAAACATGTAGCACATAATTTATTTATTTCATATAGATTATCAGTAGATAAGGCTATTTACGAACACAAATATCATTACTATTTTTAATGTGTTATCAATCACCTGAATTAATTATATTTTGTATTTAGTTTTAATTGTTTATATTAATATTAAAACTTGTATATATTAAAATTAAAACTTATGTGTACATTTATATAAGATTAAATTAAAAATGTTAAAATTAATTTAAGTATTTAAGTTAATATATTTATATTAATGTAAAATTCTATACAATATATAAAAATTATTAATAGTAAACATTTAAAAATCTAATATTGCTAACAACTTCTAAAATTTAAATATAGCATAATAAGTTCTTAATTGTAAAATTACAGTTTTTATTTTACAATTTTTTGCTTTATATTTCTCACTCACTCTGATGTGTTACTATATTTGTGAGCCAAACATATGAAGGATATTAAAAACGTGTAACAATTTGACTCCGAGAGTCAAACTTTGAGGAGTCTGCTTTAAAGGAACTGTTGGTTTTACTGTAATACTTATTAAATTTTGAAAATACATTATAATCTATCGATTAAGATATCGATCTAATGGCGGGCATTAATCGAGACGAAGGGTCAGACCTATTGGAGGCAATCACTCCCACCCACATCGACAACATGACTGTCGAAGACTTCACAAATAACGTTTTAAAAATCGACAAAATCTATCATGGCATTAACACCGAAAGTGTATCCGATTTTTACCTCCGTGGGGTAAACGTGTCTAATCCGGGGGCCCTTCGGTGGGCTCTCTACGACTTTTTCGGTGACCTATTCATGAAGTGTCCGACATATCTGTTTGCGAAACAACTCACAACAATGGTTCAAATGCGACAAAACGTCTACTTTTATGAACTCACGTACGAAAACCCATTGTTGGCCAAAGAGTTTGGGTGCGACCCTATAACCATGGGCATATGTCACGGCATGGACTTGTTGTTTGTATTTGGCATACCATTCACTGTAGAAAAACAGTGGGCCCCTGAGGACTACCTACTAAGTAGGCAAGTCATGAAAATGTGGACCGATTTTGCTAGATACGGGTATAAAATATTTTTGTTAATTATTCATATTGGTAATAATAGGAATAGTGAATTATATGATCATAATTAAATAATTAAAATTATTTAAAATAATTTTACTTAACATGGTAGAAAACCCGATGATGTATGGCCACAGTTATTAAATAATAGTACGATAAAAGTCCGTGAATTAAATCCCGGTAATTTAAGTCGGATAGTGGATAATCCTTTTAAGACCACATGCGATGGATATTGGACTGGGTACTATTTATAATGAGCTAATTGATAAATACATGTTGGATAATAATAGGGTTTATAAAGATAAAATTAATTAAGATAGTTAAAAATTAAAATTTACTAAATTATATGCTTTTGTAGAAAGTGTAGTTGTAAATTATTATATGATAAATTATATTAGCATTTATAAAAATTATTGATTAATAATATAGTTTTATTAATCATATTATTAATGTCTAATCAATACTTATCGCAATAAATGCATAAAAGTAATTTAAAATAAACTTACAATTATCATTAATAATATAAAAATAGCATGCAAAAATATAATTAACTTTAAATGTCATTTTTCGTTTAGCCTTCAAATTACATATTATTTTCGATACGATAATATAAATATTATAAAGCATATGGAGTTTAACTAAATTTCATTTAAGTGAAGCAAAATATGAAAATATATAAAAAAAACTAATGACAAAATTAGTCAAAAATATCTTCTGTTAGTGAGATCAGCAGAGAAAGTATTTTCAAAAAATTGTAATTCAATTCCACTATAAAATATGTTGTCCACTATTTGTCCTCTTTTTATTCAATTATAAATATAGCGATGTATTAGTCAGATTAACTAATTGTTTAATACTGTAATTCAGGACAGTAGATATTTCATATCAATATAAACCTGATTATTATTTATAACTAACTAGGCTTGTAACCCTTATAAAGTTACAAATACTGTACTTAGTGTTTAGTGATGAAAAAGTGTATTAATCTATTAATGTATTATATTTAGTGTATACATCACTAGTTAAAGTAATTTTAAATAAGTGGAACTCAATGATTATTATTATAAAATAAATGTTAATTGCTAAATCAATAGTTATCGCAATAATTGCTTAAAACTATTTTGTAATAAACTCAAAACATTATGAATAAAACTCAAAATATTTCGAATAACACGCACAAATATAATTAAATTTGAGTTTTATTATTATATTTTTAAAAACAAAATTACATATTATTTTCGACATATCATATAAATACCGTAAATATTTTGATTCCTAAAAGTTAAAGCTTTTAAATTAAATATCAATTGTTATCATAAATTATAAAAGTGTAAAAATATTTATTAACATATAACCAATATAATTATTCTCTCTATAAATTGTATGATAAATAATAATACAATGAGCAATATAGCAATTAATGAGATTGCTACTAGCGCTTTCAACAAACCAACTTCAAATGTATTTATAAAGCTAAATCAACTTTTAGCAAGGTGTTTATTCACAATGAATGACATCACCGCATGGTATGAACCTGCTAATCTTATAGCAAAATTAGAATATTATTGCAAAACTAGTTATTTCTTTATTTGTAATGATTTCGATGAATACGAGTCCGGATTCAGGAGTAATAGGCGTTTGCTTTGGGTTTTAATATTTATATGTTTGCTATCATTACAAGCAATTAGATTCACAATCATCGCCTTATTTAAAGATAATGTATGGATCAGGCACAATTTATGCGATCCCACGTATTTACTTGGCAATACACGACTATTATGTACGTTCGTTGTAACAAATTATATGTTTCTAATAATGATAAAAATTTGCATAAATTATTATGAGTTGTCAAATAAATTATTATCTTTTCGCGTATTTAATGATATAAAATATGGTAGAAATGGTAAACTTAGTAAACATAAAATTCAACAATTGTCCATGTATGGAAATATTTATTTTAATATATATTATAAATTTTTATTATATTTTTGGGTAATTGGCTTGGGATATATTTTTATAAAACCAGTTGTTGTTGATTATTATGAAAATAATAACCATGACTCAATTGTAGCGATCATTATATTATGTTTGTTGACAATTATTATACTTTGGCAACATATGTCTATATTGCTTTTAGCGTCATTTAGTATAATTTTTATTATGTTGTATCTAAAATACAATTTTGATGAAATCAATACACGGATAGAGTTTTGCGTCAAACATGGACTCAATGCACGACTCATGAAAACCATTGTTGAATACAATGTTATCGCCCTGATCACTCATACTTTAAATGTATTTTTTTCAAAAATTATTTTTATTATATATTTTACAGTTATCCCAATATGTCAATTACTATTATATGTAACTCATGAGCAGGAATCTACATTGTCAGTAAGGATAATCGCTATCGTTGGCGTGTTATTTGTGTTTTCAGTGGTTTTTAGCTTAAACTCATTGTTGGCAATGGTATCGAAAAGCGCTCACAAAAGTTATCCATTGTTGTACTCAATACTAATGACTCGTTCACTGACTTATAGACAGAGATTGAGAATCG